CGTGTTTCCCGATAGAGAAGACTGCTCTTTATCTCAATACACCCGTTTTACAAGAAGCAGCTRTGGCTTCAACTGCTGTTTCCCACTTAGACCCTTTGCCTCATAAATACCAAGCAGTTACAGCACTGCAGAGGATCTCAATTAGTGAAAGCCTGGATCTAAACGGGTAAACGGGAGCTCTGTGGGATCATGATTACCTTGAAGGTGCACAGGCAAAGAGGCATGCACAGAATTTGTAGGAAGGTAAAAACCTAGAAAATTGTTTTCCTTCACAATAAAGTTTGAAATAATAACCAAAAAGAAATACTGAGCACACTGTGTACCTCCTCTTAGAGATCAGATCTGAAATGAAAGACCTTGAGTTATACAATTAAGTATTGACTTTGTTGATCTATATTTAATTCTCATAGCAATTTACTTGCTTTTACCCAATAGTGTTTCGCAGTTATACTTCACTTGAAGCAATGCCCTTTTTGCTTTTGTGTTAATCTAAAAAACTAAATTGCCCTGTGCACGAGAGACATAAATAAAGTTCATTTTATTCTTGTGTGTAACTGATTCTGAGCCCCTTAAACTGCTGGGTAACTAAACTTAGACAACTGGAAAATACATTTATCCTGCAGGAAGGCTCATTGCTAATTCCGAGCTGTGGATGCCCTGCGAGCAAAGCCCGGCTTACAGGCGAGGGCGGCTTCCGTGGGTTGCGATACACATGGAATGGCCTTGCTGCTGAGTCCCTGRTACCTGTGGCCATCCCACCTTGCCCTGCTCCTTTCCATTAGCCCCACAAAGACTCCGTGCCATTCAGGAAGGCCCCTGCACAGGGAATGCAGTCTGCCCACGTGCAGCCGCTCGCTCCCACAGTCAAAAGAAAGATCTAATTTGATGTAAATGCAGAAAGAGCACCTATTTATAATGTACCAGTGTGACTGCGGGCGAGCTTTGTTTTCCTCCTTTGCTGTGCTTGAAGTGACATGCCAGATTTTATTGTATCACTAATGGGCTTCAGTTATTCCCTTTAGGATGGTGCCGGCAAGGAAGCAGCATTCCAGTTGGTGACTCACCGGGTTATTCGGAAGCGATGTGACTCCTCACGGATGTCTCTGCTGGGTCACGGGGAGTCTCTCCTCTCCTGACAACCAGTCGCTGCTCTGGGTGGCAGAAAATCTGCTACAGACTTGAGCAGCTCATGCTCCCCTACCTAGAGGCTGTAAATCCAGGGTGGAATACATGGGAAATGCTTGTTCTTAGCACAATTAGCTTTGGGATTTTCCACGTGGAAGATGTAGTTTAAGCCAAATAAGCTCTACGCTGATCTGCTCTAGGACAGTGGCCCAGTGCTGTTACAAAGGCGCTGCGAAGGTCCCAGCCCCTTTCCCTCACTGAGCTGCTTGGGGTTTAGGCCAAATCTTTTTATCCTTACTGTGAGGCCAACAGTCAGGAAGATGTCCAAGTGACCGCATTAATGCAGCCAAGTTGGTTGTACAGTTAGTTATGGACTATGGAGCTGGTGCAGACTAGTCAGCAGCAACATCAACATCATTGGGCTGGAAAGGCTTTACGTACCATTTCTCAGAAGGACCGTGTCTGAGGGCACCCACGTGCTCTTCTTCCCATCTTGGCCCTTGTAGCCGCACTCAGCACAATCGTTTCCCTGGGTGGTGAGACCCACAGGAAGTGTCACTGCACGGAAAGTCTGGCCACCAACCAGTGCAACACAAGAGTCCATCAGAAAGGCTACTGGGAGGAACCTTTTCTTGGTCACTACTCACATGGAAAGATCTGAGTGGAACCGGTGACCTGGAGGTTAGGGGCTCGGTGCACCATTCCCAAATCTCGCCCAGGTCTCTTGGATACATGATGGATGGATCTAAATACTCACTGGTAATTACGTTTCCAAATAGTGTCTTTAATAACTAGAGAAAAGATTATTGAAAGAACAGGAGATAAGTCTTTCTGAGACAGCAAATTTATATAAATCAGCAGTGGCCTTTCACCTCTGGGAATGTACATTATTTTGTTACTCTGCAGTACGAATGATTTGATGATTATGGAGCTTCTTAGATTAATATTTATGCATAGCGTTTTATTTATTTTTGCTCATAGAATTCAGGTTAGGAATGAGCTTATTTCTGTATTTCAAGGACTTYGTATTTACAAGTAGCGTTATATAACATTCTAAATATGATGTAATTTAACAGATTATTTAAGTGCAGCTATACTACTAGTGAGAATGAGAGAAGTCCAGTCTAGATGATGCAGCTTTCTTATTTAATTAAKAAATTAGCAGTATTTGGCCCTAGCTCCTATGTGTGGAACAAGATTTCATAACAGTAGGTCCTAAGTGGGTTAAATCACTATCAAGAGGAAAAAAAAACCCAACAAAGTGTTAGTTGCCAGATCAGATGAGTATTATTATTACATGATACATTTGTCTTGCATACTATTACAGTAATGTCTTAAAGGAAAAGATAAAATATCTTTAACAAAGTCATTTAAGTGGACATTAAGACATATTGAATGAGGGCAACTGCATGTTCTAAAGTATTTGTAACTTATTTCCGAATACAAAATGGTCTCTATTTTAATTATAAAAGTTGCTATAGCAACTTTTTTTCCTTTATTTCTTGGTGCATAATACCAGGTGTTATAGGCAAGAACACCTCTATGCATTAAATTTACAAGTCTCTATCATAGCGGGCACTACTCTGTGTGTATCTTTTGCCAGTGGGTTTCACTTSAGCTTCACTCAGCTCAATGACTTGGCTTAAAGTAAGAATTTTGTAGCCTGCAGTTTTTCCAATATATTTTATTAGCCTTATATGAAATGACAAACGAGGGTGTGATTAAAGTAGGATTTTATTTCAGCTTGTGCTTGCAGGATATAATAAACTGCTGATCTACATGTATGTATGGAGTATATGGATGAATTGATGCCAGTCTCCCCAGCCCAGTGCAGCCCACACAGCTCCTTGTACCGACTGGCCTTCAGTTGAATCAATAAGAGTTTTATCATAGACTTGACTAACACCAGTATTGACTTCTTGCAGACCCTAGTCTTTGCTAAGCAGCCAAGTTCAATTTATCCAGAAAGATGTGCGAAGTGGGAAAAAAATGCATGCAAAGAAAGATCATTGAGTCATTCATAGGATAAAGTATTTTAGATTTAGTATTTCAGAGATTAAAAAGTGCTGGAATGTATTTTACTGATGCTATGTCTGAGAATTTTCTCACTTGGCCTACACAGAAGTGAAGCAACTGTTCTGTTTCAGTAATATATCATATGTTAAATGAGGGCAAAAAGAAGAACTTTTAAAGCTAGGAAAGTAGGGAATTTCTGTTCAAGTGTCCTAAACTTATATTAGTCCTTATCACCAAGTGTCAAGTTCCTTTACTTCAGAAAATCCTGATTACAGATATTAAATACCTTAGTCTTAATTCTCATTTAAAACCTGCATCTAACCTAAGATGCCCTGAATTGTTTTGGGCTGTTCAGTAATGAATGAACCAACCGGAAGAGTTGCATTTACTAAGGCTGACGTCTCTTACGGCTTCACTTGAGTTTACCCAGAATGGTTGATACCAATAGTAGCTTCAACCAGACAATTTTAGCTCATTAAAAATGACAAAAGGGCAACATAAAGAACCATTAGATAAGCATTTTAATTTTTATCTAAGTAGCCATAAAAACAATACAACAAAACGCTACTATGGCCATATCCTGGGTAATAGGATGCCTTCCTCTTGCCCGAGATTTCCAAGGACAAGCAGCATAGCTGGMACAAAATGTGACTAATTGGAAACTGGATTTTTCCACATTTTCTAATGACCTTTTACAACTATATATTTATTGACCCAAATCATCAATGTATCTGGTCATGCTATATCATTAGTGAGCTTAGGGAAAAAAGAAAAAGAAAAGGCATTTCGTATTCTAGCTAAAATAGTACTGCACTGGACTGACAGGAATTTGCTAATTCAGTCTTTGCTTCCTAATAGTAATAGCAAAAATAAGGAATGGCTTGCTCTCTGACAGCACCTTTCAATAGTCCTGCGTCTACCTGAGAGTCCTGTAAAATGCTCAATGTTATCTCATATTTCCGCGATAATATTATCTGTAACAGGGTTGCCGTCTATTTAAAAAAAAAAAAAAAAAAGAAAGAAAACTCTATATAAAAAGCTGGTTGATTTTATTGAACTTCTCTCTAAGCAACAATTCCTTGGCCAGGGCTCTGATTGAAAAGACCAGTGGCTAACAAAGAGATAAAATTACTCCTGTATAATCCTACTGTGTGTTTTTAATATAATGTGCTAATACGTTGTCCTGAGTTGCAGCAGAATTACAGCACTTCCCAAAGCCGACCTCAACAGTATCTGATTGATTGTGGTCTGTGGGGATGGGACCCGTCCACTGTAATTTCCTGTCTTGTTGCTTTCTTTTCTATTAGAGCCGGTTTGGGTTCACGGCAATCAATAGGCTTACAAATGCAAAATGTGAGGTTATTTTCGAGCAGGTTTCCCTTGTATCTGTAAATTATGCAAAGTGCTGTTTTCTCCTCTGAATGTCTACTGCGTCTCTTTCTTTCTTTCTTTCCCTGTTTTTTTTTCTTGGCATAATGCAAACTCTTTTAGTAGATGAATGCGCGTTTAAACATACACCAAAAAAGAAGTATTTCCTAAAGGAGTGGATGTAAATTACTGTGAAGCTGCTGCAGTTACGTTACACATACAGATTCCAGGACCTGCTGCTTATAATGTTGATGGCACTTAACTGTTTTGCAAATGAGGCCTTATTTGTCTCCGCAGAATCRTTAAAGATATGACTTGTCCTAAAATGGACGTTATTATTCCATTTAATTATGACAGAGGTGTAAGTATCTAACACTCTATTTCCTTGAGCCCTGTGAACTTTGAATGATAACAAATAATAATAATGACAGTAAGATAACTTCTTTTTTGTAAGAAATATGTTTTCTAACACTTTTCTCCCTTTTTTTCAGAAATCGAAGCAAACCGAAGAAACAAAAGGAGATTCTCAGAATAGACTATCTAAAATTTCCCTGGAGTCTCTCAATAAATTTAACAGCAATAATGTATTTCTATTAAAAAAGGAGAAGAACTGTCTGAACAAGGTTGAAGGACAAAAGGAAGAAAATGGGAAGAAAGAAGAGGCTTCCTTAAATAACTCGGATCGGCAAGACGTGGACAATTTGGAATCCTTGAGTGATTCCTTGTACGACAGCTTCTCCTCTTGCGCCAGCCAGGGCTCTAATGATGTATAAAGGCACCTTCCAGTGGGCTGTGAATGGAGCAGTTAAGGAGCTGGAGGAAAGAGGGAAGCCAGGGACGGGGAGAAGAGACAGTTGTTGAAAATGCTCCCCCCGAAAGGGTTGTATTCCCAGCAGGGTATTCCTGGCTTTATTTTTTTATTTCTTTTTTTGTCATGACACAGCAATAAGGAAGGGCAGGACTGCATTCATCACGATGCATGAGCCTGGCAATGGAAGAGAACAAGCTGTTCCACACACACGCAAGAAAAGTCTTAATTTTGCACTTTTATGAATATTTGTATAGATGTAAATATTTTGGAAAAATATATTTGTAGGGATAAATGACAGCAATAAATTTTAAATCGGTGCTATGCTCCTCTAATGGCAGATTACTAACTTAAAGGAATTGATGTTAATATTAACAAGGAAAGTTAGTAGATTAAAAAGAAAAGGATTTATAATTGTTCTAGTCTTAAAACTGTCTGTAGAAACACTGCGTTACCCTAAACCTGAGCCTGCCAAACTTGTCTGTAACTTTCTCAGCCTCCCTTTTACAAAACCCATTAGATTTTTCTTTTTTAGTGCAATGCCATGTATGTTCTCTAGGGAGGGAGGCATTTGAGTTATTATAGTTTCACAAGAGGTGTCTTATTTAAAGAGGCTTCTGACTTTTGGCACAGCGAGAATATGAGCGGGTGAGSTGGCCTGGTGCTGCTGGTACAAATCCCCGTTTGCAGGGATTCCAYAAATCATGTGCAGAACTATTGGGAAGACCAGGGTCAGAGCAATTCCCTGCCCAAGCAAATGGGAGTCGCGGAGGAGAGAGCCCTTCACCGACTGCCCTTTAATGCCGGCCGCAGCACAGCCGGCCTGCTCGCACCTCCTCCTCCGCAGCCACTTCCTACCAATTCCTGAATGTAGCATACGGTGTTACCCCTTTTGTAGCCCCCGATTTGATCTTTCTTACTGTAAACCCTAAAAATACAAAAATAAAAAAAAAAAAAAGAAAAAGAAAGGAAAAAAAAGAAACTCAACTCCTATTTGTGAGCTACTTAAACAGGATGTTGGTGCTAACAGTACTAGTTGAAACATATCTAGGAGCAGGGGGATTGGTGTGTGTTGTTCGTTCGTTTTTCTACAAAGACTGTTTATATGTAAGGGAAAGTCTATTTCAAAGGTTCTGTGTATTTTTTCTAGTTGTGAAGTATTTATAATGGCTTTTTTTTGTACAGCAATCTGTAAACTAGATATATTTGGGATATTTCTAGCCCCTACAGTTTCTTTAGCACACGCCTGTTAATCTTTTAAATGATATTGTATGATCAGTGTTAATATTTTGTGCAATTTGTTACTTTTTAAAGTAATTTCCAATGTAAACTTCTATTGTCTTTTTTTGACTTAAGAGATTTCCATCGACACATCTTTCTTAAATAAAACTCCTCTTAAAAATATATGTTTAAAGAGAGATTTCTATATATGTATATATATATTTGGGACTGGTATCATATAATGAAGTAGATTTTACTAAAACTTTTGAACTTGAGTTATCAACTTAAAGAAATGATGGGTGAAGATGTTTCTGGTAAGTAATTTTGGGGAGGGGGGGCAAAGAGAAAGAAACTAGATTGTGCAGAGGGTGCCAGGTCCGTGATGCCCTATGATACGAGCAGACCATTTCCCTTCCCGATCCCTCGTTTCTCCTGCTTCCAAAATTCAGGTGCCGGTAGATGACTTGGCGACGCGGCCGCTGAGGAGCAATCCGCGCTCCATCCCGGCTCCGTAACGGCAGGCAAGGCGCCGAAAGGGAGCGAGACGCGGACTCCCGCGGCGGGGAGCAGCCGCCCTGGGCTCGGCTCGGCTCAGAGCCGTCCCGCCGGGGCGCCGAGCGCTGCCCGCCTCGGCACCGCCTCGGCACCGTCTCGCTCGCCGCCCGCCTCGCGGCTCCCCGCGGCCGTTAACGGCCGCCGCGCTGCCCCGCCCCTCTAACGGCCGCCTTCGCCCAACGGCTCCCGCCGCGCGGCGCGGGCACCCCCTGCCGCGGCGCGGCCGCCGCAGCCGCAGGGCGAGCCGAGCCCCGTCCCCTCGGAGGCGCGGGCGGGAGCGCCCGCCCCCRCGCTCGCGGATGTGTTTTTTAGGGAATAAAGTGCAGTTCTGGGGCTGAGGCGCCGCACAGACGGCYGGTGTCCCCTCACACACACACGAGCACGCGCGCCGTGGGACCGGGCGCGATTCCCCCTCACGCGCACCGCGGCAGAGCCGCCCTCGAGGCGGCGCGAGGGCAGCGCGGGGGTTCCGCGGGCGGCGCGACGGGGCGGGCGACTCCTCCTGCCCCTCCAAACTTTCTCCCCTCCTCAGCCAGGGGAGGAGGCGGGCGAGGTTCCTGCCCGCCCCGCGCGGCCCCGCTCCGCTCCGCTCCGCCGCCATCACATGGTGCTGCGGGAGGAGCGGGCGCCGCCGCCCGCGGCCGGCAGCGGCGCGGGGAAGCGGCGCGGCCGCCCATGCCCTGCGCGGCGGCGGGAGGATGCGGCTCTTCCTCCTCGCCGCAACTTTCTGCGGATGGTGCCTGCGGACAGGTGAGAGGCGGCGCGGCTTCCCCGCGGCTCGCTGCCGTCGGGGGCCGAGGGCTGGCGCGGCGGCTCCTCCGCGCGGGAGGAGAGCGAGGCGAAGCCGCGAGGAAGGCGGTGAGCGAGCCCCGGAGCGCGGCCGTGGGCAGCGGAGCGCCCGGCACCGCGAGCCGCTCAGCGCCGGGGCCGGCACCGCAGCCGCGCGGAACGCGGCCCCGGCCGCACGTGTTGCTGCCGCGCGGGTATCTCGCGATTATTATTCTGAGCGAAACTCGCGTGTGGTGCAGGCTCCGCGCTGCAGATCCAGTGCTACCAGTGCGAGGAGTTCCAGCTCAACAACGACTGCTCCGCGCCCGAGTTCATCGTCAACTGTACGGTCAACGTGCAAGACATGTGTCAGAAGGAAGTCATGGAGAAAAGTTTCGGTGAGAGCCTGGCCGCGGTGCCCCCGCGGCTTGTCCTGGGTCGGGGCTGGTGCTTTGGGCGCTGTGTGGGCGCACTGCCCAGCCTGGAGGCTTGTGTTGGTGTAGTCCCGCTGAAAGGGGCTTCCAGTGCAATTTCTCAGACTTCGGAGCAACTTTGCAACCTGATAGCGTTAATCATTTCCATTGAAAACCAGAAAAAAAAAAAAAAAAAGAGTTATCCAACCCAAATGTTGATTGAGCTGTTAATACACCATCTTATGGGTCTCAGGTTTAGTTTTCCAGCACTGGGAAATTAATAACAACAAGCTAGTTTAATCTCATTACAGTTAATTACGTGGGCTTTTTCCCCAAGGGATGGAAGGAAAAAGCATTAAATTAGTAATTCCCTCCTTTCTGTTATTTACTCTAGCAATTCACATACTCTAAAGGTTCTTCCCAAGAGAAGAAAAGTGTAGTCATCCTTGCTTTCATCCATAAAAGAAAACATCAAGAGGGAGACAGCTATGAAGAACTTTTTTTTTTTCCAAGGTGCACACTATTGATTTTTCTAAGTCAAGGGGCTTTTCTCTTACTGTAATTAATTTTAAGTTAGCATATCTAGAGATCAATGTCTTCAAGGGGAAGCAAGCTGTGATTCTGCTTCTCTCTGGTATTGTTTTTTGCGCTGTGCTATACATGGATTTTTCCTGTTTTTTATTTGTTGTATGATGGAAGGCATTTGAGATTTYGAGAGCATTGTTTTGGGTTTTAAAACACCCAAGTTAGTTGTTCTGCAATGAGTTAAGTGAGTAGAGGACCTCAGCATCATTGGAGACTGCTGGGCTGTGTSAAGTAACAAGGAAATTGTTGTGTGCTTTCTAGTTCATTTAGCTTCCTGCTCCTACTGCAGGAGCCCCTAAGATGTTTAAGGGCAAGGTGTTAAGTGACAGGGCTTCGCCCCTTGCACCCCAAACCTTCCCCAGTGACTTTCATAGGTGTAAATGGATGATGTGGCTGTCTGAACCACTTATCAGATTGATGTATAGACAAAGGTAAATAGTCCTCTGCTTAAAAAAAAGTCAATTGTTCTCACTTCTAACATCTTCCCTGATGCCCTTTTGTTTCAGAGCCACTCAAACTGCATCCGTTTTCCAGCAGCATATCTGTAATCTCCCCTTCAAGTGACTGGTTCAGTCGATTAAGCCACTCGTAGATKAAGGAGGTGCACATGTGCCCGCACCCACCTGGGCATGCCCTAAGCCCAGCCTAGATCCATTCCCCGGGTGCAGGCAGGCTGGTTTCTCAGGCTGGGAAACGTGGTTGCACATTGGCCAGTGGGACCATGAAAACCCTAACTGGAGCCATTCTAAACATTTGAGACATACAGGGCTGTGTAACTTGGGGCTTGCTCCTATGAGGAAATCGATTTGCAAGACACTAAATAAGTAAGAAGCCTTTTTTTTTTTCACGTGTAGCTTTTGTATTGGCTTAGGCTGGCATTTGGATTTTTCCCTTTAGGAGATAACTATCTTGCTGTGCATAGAAGGTTCTGTTTTCCTTGCCTTAATTCTGTAAATGCAGTTCTTACTCTCTTTGAGAGATTGTGAATTCCAGTTAGAAAATAAATGTTTTTTCTTAACCATTTCAAATTGAGCAATATTTACATTGCAAACTCAGTTTCTCCCCTACCCTCCATCCGTTCTAGAGAGGATTAGTTGTAAAACATAGATGATTCAGTTAATCTTTTTCTATTGCTTCCTTTTTTCCTAATTGATATTTAAATGTGTGTGATGTAAATGCCTTACTCTCACAAATTTTATTTAATAATTCATTTTACTTCTGCTAGTGCATTCCATAACTTGGTTCTTTGGGTTGTTGCTTATCACTGAAAGCTGAAGTGTGTCAAATATTGATTTTAATTTATAATAGACTTGAGTTTGAATTTTTAACTCACAATATGAATTTGCATTTATTCAAAACTACAGTCTCATACATAGAGGGTTTTCCTCTTGACTAGATACAGTCAAAGGAATGTAACTTGATTTTTATAAGCAACTCCATTTTTGCCCTTAATATAGCTATGTCAGTGAGCAAAATATTACAACTTCTCCTAAACCTAACTTAAAGCTAAATGCAGTATTTTTAGATTAAGTTAATGATCAGAATCAGTAACCTCATTGATCTAGTCTGCAGTCCTTTACAAGATACATTAATCTATTTGTTTTGCAATGAAGGGGATCACTGATTCACATTCTGTGCCTGTGATGTAGAAACCAGCAGGTAGTCAGTGATTTTTTTTTTCTTTCCTATCTGTTTGTTAGTGGTTGGCTGTGCAAAGCCAGCTCTAAATTCAGCTTAAATTTCTATATTAAATTTTCTGAATGCTTCAATGGAAAACTGCATGCAGCTTTTTTCATATATGTTGTAAACAGTTCCCTATACTATGACCACAGCTAACAAGTGGCTTCTTTTCCATTACTATAGAGTCGGAATTAGTGTTTCAAACATCTGTATTTTGTCTCAGAACGTTACCAGTTTATGGGGAGTCAGTCTTAGGAAATACATTCTAGTSCAGGTGAGATACCATCCCAAGCAACTGTTGAAGTGACAATCCGTGATGTGAGTAGCCAAGGATGCAGGTATTAGTCATGAATATTTTGAATTAGACCAGCAAGCAAATTATCCCAGCAGTTTATAATACCAGATAGAAAGTAGCTCCATTGCACAGCCGAAAAGAAAATGAACTGAGAAATGAGAAGTACTTAGGCATGTGTCTGGCGAAGTGATTATGTGGATCTACTACAATTCCGCCTCCCCTGCACACAAGCACTTTGTTATGGCAATTTACATTTCAGTTGCACTTTGGGGATCTATCAGTGTGCAGAATTGGAGACTTTGTCAGGTCAATGACAAAACATTCCTTTCCTCACTGTAAATAAAGCTTAAAAATGCTAGAATAAGTTTTATGCAGTTATATTAACATCCTGTACTAGTGGGAGATGCAGAAGAATGGTACTTTGCCTGCAGTGCAGCGGCTTACAATGTAATTTGTTAGTTTAATCTTTAAAAAACATCAGTGCTTCCTTCCTTTATAGGGAAGAATGGTTAGCATGGTAAGTGGTACTGAAGACTGCACTGGCTCATTTTAGTCCATTAGACAGTAACAGTGAGGGATGTTTAGTTCATACTACAGCTAAATAATCAGGTCTTTGAAAACTGTTTGTGAGGATGAGATGTTTGATGAAGGGCCAGAACTTTCTTATAAAAATGCCTCTTGAAAATACTTTGTGGTGATACAAATGGCAGATTGTCCTGCTTGCCCCTCCTTCCCTCTATGAAGTTTCCATTCTGAGACTTCAGCTCTGCTGCTTTTTAGAGTGAATGTAGGAACAAAAAATGCTGCTGTGTGTTAGGGTCAGACAAAATATCCCAGGGATATTTTGAATTTATAATATTTATGTGGTATTTAGGAGAGMACTATATGTGTATCTGTATATATATGTAGAGAGCAAAATACTGATAAACATACTAATAATACTCATAGAAACCATACTGATAATGAAGTCTGCCTTTTACTGAGTACAAGAGCAATCTAACTAAGCCTTAAGGCTGCTCTAAACCTCCCCGAAGGCAGAATGAAACATGTAGTATGAATAGTTCATAGAAGTATCAGTCGTGAAGGGGGAGAGAATCAAAGCAGAAGGTTCAGCAAATGCAAATGTTGGAGAACTTCCTTTAAGTAAATGTGTCCATGTAAACATCTTAAATGGTACSTTTCCTTCTCTGGTTATCTCCCCTTACGTAGTTGCAAAGTTACTTCTACAAGTATTTTTCTTTGTGGGGGGAAAAAAACATTTCCATGATAGCAAGATTGGTAGTTTAAAATTTCTTTTTTATGTAAAACTAAGGTTGTTCATGAAATTCACTTTGCRATTGAATTAGGAAACAATCTCGTTGTTTCTATTATTAATCTGCAAGAAGAAACTTCCCTTGTTTGGTTTAAGAGTGGCCTTTCTCATGCATTCACGTTGTATAAAATCCTGCAATGTAATTAGAGCAATTACTGTAATTGTACACTTAAAAGCAGTGCATGGGAACATCAGGAACAGGATGACTGTCTACCTAGTGAATTTTAATGGTGCTTTTTTGCCTTTAAGACTTCTTTTTCAGTACTAATTTCCTTCTTATTTGTTTTATCAAGCAGAGGAAAGCAGCATCTAAGCTGTGCCATGATTTGCACGGTATAAAATTCRTTACCTCTGATTTTGGAAGCTCAAGTTGCTTCATACGTGGCCGTTTAGGATTACAGGAACATATACCCTTCTCTGTTTACATGTATAGCCTCCATTAGTACTAATGCTAATTGCATACTAGCATCAAGGGGAAATTATACTCTGGTGTACATTTCTTGACAAAACGATTAAAACAACAAACAAAGTTTAATGCCTTTAGAATTACTGTAGGCATTAAAGTTTTATAGGTAGTAGCTGCATCCTCAGTATCCATTTCAAAAGTAGTAAGAAACATCACCTAGCCTGCAGTGGTTGTTTTTTTCCCTTTGATACTGACTTTCTTGGTCATAGCTTATTAAAATTGGGGAGAAGACTGCTTGTTTCTTTGAATCTCAGAACATAACAGAATAGATATTTACTGCCAGCTTAAAAGAAACTTGATGTGTGACRGTGGTAACAAATATTTTGCACTGTCAGGGGCCAAATGAAATGAAGACATAATAACCAATACTCAAACCAAGTAGTTCATTTTTGATGCTAGTGTGAATAAAACACATACATTGTTGATCTTCAGTGTAAGCTGAAAATTTAGACTAGTGTATCCATTAGTGTTACCATTTAGAAACTATTTCAGATGCCAAGCTGTACAGCATAGTTTCTTGCTAATAAGTTGCTTACATACTTTGMATTGCTCACAAAACTTCCGAACAGAGAGTGGATAAACTGAATTACATGCATTAGGTAAGGTGAAATTGTGGACAGCATGTAACAGATTGCTGTCTTGAGCAC